TTACATAACCTGAGAGAGAGGAATATTGTTGTAGAAGAATTACTAATGTAATAGGGATCTCATCTCAACCTAAACTGGGATTTGGAATTTTGATGTGTGTTTGATGAAAATATTCAGCTAAAAGCTCAAAGAGGCTATTTCGGTGAAGTAGTTTACATAGTAGGAAAATGTCTCCAAAGAGGAAGATGTCTGGAGACAGATATGGAAAGGCACATGAGTGAGCAGGAGGCTGTCTCTTTTATTAATGAGTCCCATGGAATTATCCTGAACCCAGATGCGGGCAGGGGCTGCAGGAAGAATGTTAGGGATCTGTTTTCACTGGCACAGAGGCACCTATCATGTGGCTTAGAAACCAGGGTGATGAAGCAGCAACATGTTAGGGAAGAGCATCATTTTTCTCTCAATACTGTAAACATTTTGCTCCACTATCTTTCTATTTTGCATGGCCTCTGAGAAGTCAGATGTCATTCTTATCTTTGTTCTCCTGCAAGTAAGGTATTTTCCCCCGTTTTTTTTTTTTTCTTTCAGAATTTTTTTCTTTATCTTTAGTTTTCTGTAACTTCAAAATGATATTGGTAAGGTATAGATTTTTTTTCTTGCATTTATCCTGCCTGGCATTCCCTAAGCTTCCTGGACCTGTGATCTGGCATCTGGCATTAATTTGGGGGAAATTCTCAGTCTTTATTGTTTCAAATATATCTGTTTCTCTCTTTCTTTCTTCTCCTTCTGGTATTTCCATTATATTTCCACCATGCACCTTTTGTGATTGTCCCACAGTCCGTAGATATTCTGTTTTTTTCAGTCTTTGTTCTCTTCAATTTTTGGTTTTTGAAGATTCAGTTGTCATATCCTCAAACTCAGAGATCCTTTCCTTAGCTCTGTGCAGTCTATTAATAAACCCATCAAAGGCATTCTTCATTTCTGTTATAGTGCTTTTTATCTCAAGCAGTTTTGGTTCTTTCTTAGGATTTCCATTTCTATGCTTACATCGCCCATCTGTTCTTGTATGATTTCTGCTTTATCCATCAGGTCCCTTAGCATATTAATAGTTGTTTTAAATTCCCTGTCTGATAATTCCAATATTCCTACCCTGTCTGGTTCTGATGCTTGCTCTGTCTCTTCAAATTGTGTTTTTTATCTTTTGGTATGCCTTGCCAGTTTTTCTTGATAGTTGTACACGATATATCCAGTAAAAGCAATTGTTGTAAATAGGCTTTAGTAATGTGGTGATGAGGTGGAAGGGGACGAAAAAGCATTTTCTAGTCCTGAGATTAGGTCTTAGTCTTTTATGAGCCTGTGCTTTTGCGCTGTGAAGGAACATCAATTCACCATGTCTAGGCATACATAACACAGCCTGGCTCTGAGATGACAAAGGCTGCTTGGGTTTGAGGGTTTGCACTTTGGGAGAAGCAGAAAAGGGGTCCGCGCTCTGAGAAGAGAGCCAGTGTTGAGTACCACTCTCACATGGTTCTGCTAACCAAGACCTTAACAAGGGAGGACAAGCAGAGAAATCTGGGAGTTCTTTCAAACCCCATGCTCTGCATTTGGGGACTACAGAAATAGATGGATGAAACCATGCAATTACACATGGAGGACCATGAGTTTTCAGCCATTGCTGTTACTGTGGCTTTGTAAGCACAGAGTGGCGAAGCCTGGAGGAAATGTGGTTTGCACCAGAATAGTAGTTCTTAAGATGAAATGTGCTTCAGAATCACTGGTGGAACTTTTATTTTTTTTATTTTTTTTTTTTTTTTAATTTTTTTTTCAATGTTTATTTATTTTTGGGACAGAGAGAGACAGAGCATGAACGGGGGAGGGGCAGAGAGAGAGGGAGACACAGAATCGGAAACAGGCTCCAGGCTCTGAGCCATCAGCCCAGAGCCTGACGCGGGGCTCGAACTCACGGACCGCGAGATCGTGACCTGGCTGAAGTCGGACGCTTAACCGACTGCGCCACCCAGGCGCCCCCTGGTGGAACTTTTAAAGAGGATCCATGCCATGTCCCATTTTCAGGGTTTCTGATTTAGAAAGCCTAGGGTGGCATCTTGGCAACTGTGTAATGAAAAAGCTCAAGTAATTTTGATGCTTATGCCTGGTCAGGAACCCGGGGGGAGGGCAGGTGGGGAATCAAATTTTTGGGGGTATTTCACTTTTAGAATTCATTGTTTCATAACTTCATCTCTTTATGCTCAGCTTTCCCCATTCTCACTAAAAAAGCTTCCTTTCTCTGATATCGGTTTTCTTAATTCTTCACCGAAGGCTTTTCTGAAGGAGAATTACTAAAAGATTCAGCCAGCCTTAGACTCTTAGATTCTTTATACTTGGACTCAGATGAAAGGAAAAATTGAGAATGTAAACATCCTATTTGATTCCTTAGAAGAAAATGGCTCATAATTTTATTTTGTTTGATCAGCTCCATGTTAAACAACTGTGTGAATATTTTTCTTGAAACATCCTGTCTCTTCCACTCCTATCTCCACAGCTCACTCTACTGTTAGTTTTGCTTAAAAGTTATCAATGGAATTTAGACATCAAAGCACTTTCAGCTTCATTTCTCCACTCTGGCTCCACAGGCTACAACCACCACCCTCCAGAGTTGTAAGCTACAGAAATCATCCCACATCTTACTTTTGTTCATTTATATCTGGGTGAGCTAGAGGAGATTGTCTTTCTTTTGTAGAATCTATAGTATTGAAAATAAACTAGATCAGTGACCTAATTCCTGGTTAATGAGTCCTTTATTCCCTAATGTTCCCATTAATTTTCAATCCAATGGAATTCTTGTCTTCTTGAAATACAGCTAAAATATAATAACTGTGTAGTAATTATTTTTTTCAGTGCAAAAATTCCAAATGTCCATTCTATTAACTGAGCAAATGGAGGTCATAGTTACATCAGCCGTTAAATGTCTTTACAGGAATTAAAGAAAACTGATCATGCTCCAGTTTGAAAGAGCCACAATTAAGCAGTGTTTTTGTATTACTTCTCAGAGGAAGGAGCCTGAAGATTCTAAAGGGAGGGATGATGCATTAAGTGCTGGGAAAAAAAAAAAAAAAGAGAGAGAGAGAGAGAGAGTCTTCAGTCTTGGGAATGTAACAACTTGGTGGGGGGCTGAGTGCCCTGAGGCAGACTGACCCAATCAGCTGCTGGGAAAAGTAATACAGCTGTTCTGCTGGAGGGAGACACATTCTAAGCCGGTATGGTCCACTATCGGGGAGCTTTTGGTATCATGAGAAAAGGAAGTGCTGTTCCTTTCAACTGAGAAGCTGTAGAATGTCTCACTCATCCTTTTTTTTTTTTTAATGCTGACTCCTCTTTTTGTTTTTATTAGCTTTGTGATAAAATTTCCATTTGAAAATTGATGATACAAATCAGAAGTGCTTCAAATCATCTATTTAATATTTATAGATGAAATTTATCTCTTTCCTTAAAAAATGTTTAAAGAAAACATATCTGAATTAGAACTTAGTGTTTACTGCACATAAGATGAAATGGAAACTAACCTCTTTATTGCATGTGGGTTTTTTTGTTTTTGTTTTTGTTTTTGTTTTTTTATTCCTTGGCTTATTCAGTTAATTTGGATTTACTATTTGTAAGGTGAAAAGAAACACTTTCCCCCACAACTCTGTGGTCTATTGGGAGACTTTACACAGTAGGAAAAAAAATGTGAGCAACTACCTATCATTATTATAGAGCGGATTTTCAGATGGAACACTAAGAATTTACTCAAACGTATTCCTTGGAACTATTTCATCATAAAAACCAAAATATGATTAAATTAATACTGCTGATTCAATGAGCTCATTTGACAACAGTTGCAAGGTGCAATTTGAGGAGTTTTATGGGCCAATGTTAAGGTTAGGCATATACTTTCTACCCCCAAACCCCTGTATTGTATTATTCAGAAAATATAGTGGAGTCAACGGATAGGTCCTTGAAAAAAAAAAATAGAAAAAAGAAAAAGAAGAAATGCCTTCTATTTCCCAATGCTTATTAATTCAAATTTATTTACATTTTTCAGTGGATGGATCATGTAGTTTAATATATAAGGTGGCATATAAATAGTGGCAACACCAAAGACAGGCTCAGGGGACCATCTTGCAGGGCCCTTCCCCTCACCCCAGCTACCACCACAAATTTAATAATGTTTTTCTCCATCTAGACCATTGCCATTTTCTCAATCATGTGAAAATCATCTCTCTTGAAAACATTTCTATTTTCATTGATCTGTGATTTACAATTTAAGTAAAAACAAATTAAGACAAGTCCCTTAACTTTCCTCACCTCCATTTCCTGCTGCCCCTCAATTCCTCCATGTGAATATGCAGACCCCAGCAGGTGTATGAGTGAACATGGACACATAAGTTTATTTTACAGTTCATTTCCATACAAGAAAACTAAAAGAGTAGTGCCAGTATTCCATAAAGACCCAAACTGTTATGCAAATAAAGTTCTTACTAAAGAAAAAGAGACAAAGATGATTTTCTGGAGAGCAGAAAGACTCAAATTAAATGGCAATATAGCATATGCTCTATGACTGGTTTGGACGAAGTCATTAAAGCAGCTCTTATTCTACCATCTTTATGTAAGTATGTTTTACAGAAAATGTATACTGGAAAATAAGGAAATAATGGGGATTGTCTGTGGATTAAAAATTATTGAATTGGCTTGAACTTACTTTTTTGTTATTTTTTTAATGTTTGTTTATTTTTGAGAGAGTCAGAGACAGAGTGTGAGCAGGGGAGGGGCAGAGAGAGAGGGAGACACAGAATCCAAAGCAGGCTCCAGGCTCTGAGCTGTCAGCACAGAGCCCGACATGGGGCTTGAACCCATGAGCCAGGAGATCATAACCTGAGCTGAAATCAGATGCTCAATCAACTGAGTCACCCAGGTGTCCCAAGCTTCCTTTTTGAGGGTTTCCATCTACCACCTACTTCTACTTACCTACATCCCACACAATATGGACAGGAAAAAAAGCAGAGTGCATTTTATAATTTCAGAGGATGGAAGACAGCAGCAATTAATTAATGAAGACTGAAGAAATACTTATTATAATGTTTAAAATGTTCTTTTGTACTTATTTGACAAAAATCCCAAGATTCATCAGTTTCTGGAAACTCAACGCAAGGTAAGAGCTGCAGCTGACTTTGAATCTGACATATGTGTGAAGTAAGAACCCAATCGACATTGAAATGCCAGTCTGTGATTTCCCTTGAGGTATTGCTTTAGTTTCTGTTCCATCAAAAGCACACCAGCTGTAACTATGTGTTAAATATTTATTTTGGAGATGGATAGAAAGGAAAATTAGACACAGCCTCCACTTTCAAAAATTTTAATCTGGTAAGGGTGACAGACTGAAGGGAGTACACAAATCAGATTTAGGGAGCGAACAAGATAGTGGTTGTGGGGAAAATGTTGAAGGTGAGCTGCAAAAGGAATATTGAAGCCCTGTGGGTCTGAGAACAGAAATGCTGTTGTTGGGATGTCTTTTAATTCCCATCTAGGTGGATAGGGAGAATTTTTTAATACATTCCACCCGAATGTGGAATCTGATAACACTCATTAGTTTGCCCATGGTATCTAGTAGTTTTATGACATCTACACACTTAAACTTTGGAATGGTGTGTCCCTCATGGTGGAGGGGAGGCGAAGCACATAAACAATTTCAGGGACTTCTTTCTAAAGTCCTTAGGCAATCATCCAACCTCTGTGTGTCTCAGTTTCTCAATCTGTAAAACAGTAATGCAATATCTATTCCACAAAATAGTTGTGAGAATTAAATGAGATAATCATATAAAGTATCTAGCACAGATCCTACACCAAATGTTCAATAAAAAGCAGTCATTATTTTATCCTTTCTTTCTTTTTTCTGTGAGACTGGCTTTCCTTCACTGTCACTGATGAGACACTAACCAAGCTGGGGGATCAAACAAGGGACGCTTCACCAAGGTAGGTGCAGGACATAAAGGGGGACAGATGAGTTACATGCCCAGGCATAAAATATGAAACAGTAAAAAAATCTGGGAACTTCACAGGAAGTTATCTGTGGGAATGTCTGGAAGACTTCTGTAAAAACAACCTATAAAGATGTTGCTTTAGCTGCAAATATTTTGTGGATTTAATATAATAAAATTAATATTATTAATTTCAGTATCAAGGGCAAATGCACATATATGGAGAACCTATTATGTGCCAGGCATTGTGCTTAGCTTACCTTGCATATATCACCTCATTTAATTTTCTCACCAATATAAAATAATACAGTCCATTATGCCTCATTTGAAATTTTAAAATAAAAAATTTATGAAAATTAAAATATTGAAATAATTGCTTGAGTAACAAAATCTGACCTGAACTGACATGAGATTATTTTTAGTCTTTATTTATCTCACTTAAAATAAATATTCATGCAGTTTGCTATAGAAACCTTAATGTTTGGTCATGGGGTGTTTCTCAGACCCCACTAGTGTAATGTTCCATATTGTCATTATAAAATAGTCTCCAAATTTCAAAATTCACCTGGACTCTAGGATTTTAGGTAAGGTAGGGTAGACTTTTAAAAAAAAGATAACATTTATTGAGAGCTTGCATATGCCACGTTTGGGTCCAAGTCTCTACTGATCTTAATTCATTCATCCTCATAATAATCCTGGGACAATAATCTTGGAGGAAAGAGAAACACATGAGGTGATCTCTACCTTCATCTAGACTTTCTGCTTAGAAGTACTTTCCAGTGAAGTACAGGAAGGGGAAACCAAACAAAACTTGGGTATGTCAATGAATTGAGGGGACCGAAATCATTACTTGGGGAAGGCAAGGCAACTAAAATTTGTGAGGCAGACTGCCTACGAAGAGGGAGCTATGCAGAAGTGCTCCAAGTATCTTCAAAGTAGCCCCATCAAATCTTTGGCTGAATATCAATCTACAAAGATCACTGGACATGAGCAATTTCAGGGGAAAGACAATTACCAGGGAGCTGTAAGCTGAACAATTCCTGGAGCTCATAAAGGTCTGAGAATCATTCAAGCTCCCATCAGCCAAAGTGAAGAGCCCTTCATGAATATATGATGCATTTAGTGGAGAGCCCAGAAAAGCCTCACCTTAAAAGTGGGGCTCAATGAGCATTAAAGGTAATCTAAATTCACCCCCAAACTATAACAAAATGCAACACTCAAGAACATAAATACATGATGTTCAGCATTCAACTAAAATCACTGTTTATGGGAAGAAGCAGAAAAATGTGACCCATAACTTAGAGAAAAGTCAGTCAATAAAACAGACCCCAAATTAAAAAGGTAGTCAAAGTAATTAACAGACAACAATATACATATTGGATAGTGATAGAAAGTATCCAGAATGAAGCACAGATTAAAAAAGGCTGAAAAAAATTAGTCTTTAGTGATCCAGGAGATAATAACAAATGCAATTGGGATTCCAGAGAAAGGAAGGAAGATAAAAAATGCTTGATGAAATAATGGCCAAACTTTTTAAAATTTGATTTGAAAAGTTATAAACTCTCAGAACCAAATGACAAAATGAAGCCCAAGTAAAACAAATATAAATCAAGCCTCTCCAAGACTTATTTTAATCAAATTGCTGGAAAGGTGTTAAAGAGGGAATCTTAAAAGCATCAAGAAAACAAACACACATTGCATGCAGAGAAACAAAGATAAAAATAACAGCAGACATTTTGTCAGAAATTTATGCAAACCAAAGACAATGGACTTATTTCTTTAAAATGCTAACAGAAAAAGATGTCAACTCAAAATTCTATATTCAGCAAATCTTTCATAAACAAGAATAAGGAGAAATTGACACATTTATTTTATAATTTATAGAGAAATTCAAAGAGCAAGTGATTAAAAAAATAAATTTGGGAGGATTTATGCAATATGATTTCAAGATAATAAAGTTATAGTACCAGGGCACCTGGATGGCTCAGTCAGTCGGGTTTCTGACTTTTAATTTAGGTTTAAGTCATGATCCCAAGGTGGCGGGATTGAGCTCTACATTGGGCTCTGGGCTGAGCATGGAGCCTACCTAAGATTCTCTCTCTCTCTCTTTCTCTCTCTCTCTCTCTCTCTCTCTCCCTCTGAGCACTCCCCCTCTTGTGCCCTCTCACTCTCTAAAAAAAAAAAAAAAAAGTTATACTACCAAGGGAGTATAGTAACAGCAGAGACTAGACATACATAGATTAATGGAACAGAAATGACAATCCATAAATAGACCAACAATTATATAATCAATTCATTTTCAACGAAGATGTCAAAAATTCGGTGGAAAGGATTGTATTTTCAGTAAACTGTGCTAGAATAACTGGATATATGTACATACAAAAAGGGGATCTCAACCTTTTTGTTACATCACACACAAAAAATAATTCAAAATAGCCCTTATACCTAAACATAGGAGCTAAAACTATAAATCTTTTAAGAGGAAATATAGGAGAAAATCTTTATAACCTTGAATTAGGCAGAGGTTTCTTAGATAAGACATAATCATAAACCATAAATGAAAATTTTGTTAACTTTACTTCACCAAAATCAAAACTTTTACCTGTCAAAAAACACTATTAAAAATGAAAAGCAAGCCACAAAATGGTAGAAAATATTTCCACAACATACATCTGTGTACCCACACACATAACTACAAAATATACAGAGAAGGTGTATAACACAATGATGAGAAAAGAGCAACATTTCAATTAAGAAATGAGCAAAAGAAAAAGAAGACACTTTGTGGCTAACAAGTTCATGGAAAGATACTCAACATCATCAATCGTTAGGAAAATGCAAACTAAAATCCATAAAATATCACTATACATCCATTAAAATGGCTTATATTGAAAAGGCTGACAAACCCAATTGTTGACTAGGATGTCAAGAAAATAGAACCCTCATGTATATCTGGTAGGAATGTAAAAACGCCCAATCACTTTGTGTAACAGTCTGGCAGTTTCTTAAAAAGTTAAACATACACTTACCATAGGATCCACTTTGTCTGAAGGAACAATAGTAATGTATCTTGGTGGTGTTTTGTTTTGTTTTGTTTTTTTTTAAACATGCAGACGTAAATTGTATGAAAAATTTAGCACAAAGAATGAGACAGGGAAATGGAAAATTCATGTATGTGAATTAGCATAATGCTATTTGAAGGAGCCGGTGATAATTTAAAAATTACTGCTCCTAAGGACCTGAGGGAAGAGGAAAGTATCCAAAAGTTTTTCCTTTCTGGCTCCAAAAATAGTTTCGTTTCTTGGATGAGAAAGCTTTTCATATGCTGGGGCCTCAGACTCCTTCATACACTTCTGCACCTCGGCAGCAAGCCCAAGCTGGGCAGGAGTTACCATCATCTTCCTCTTTCTAATGGCCTCCGAGGCTGGATGGTGTGGACTGTTTGCTGACCCTCCCCCCCCCCCCCCC